TGACCACTGTGTCTCCTCCAGTTACTGAGTCTGGTAGGGTAGTTGCGTCGGGTCAGGTGTTTGCTGCAGCGTCCAGGTCTGGTCCTGAGTCTGCCCCCTGTTCCTGTCGTCTCCTGTCTCACGAGACTCTCCTCTAGCACCACCGCCTTGGTCACCCGTCTCTGCTTCGACTCAGAGGCATGGCCTCCCGTCTTCTTATCTCTGGTCTCCTCCGGTCCCTCCCTCCCCTTCCTCAGGGCCCTGGCCCTACCTGTGTCCCTTGTGTCGAGGGGCGCTAGCGTGCTGCCCCTCACTCCTCCCAGCTTCCTCCGACAGAGGCCCCGTTGCAGACGCTTCACATGGACGTGTGGGGCCCAGACCACGTCCGTGGACAGGGTCACGAGCGCTACTTCCTGCTCGTTGTTGACGACTACTCGCGTTACACCGCAGTCTTCCCCTTGCGCAGCGCACGGATCACTCGGGACAGAGCACAGCGCACCATTACCTTGACTCAGTCACACATGGTGCAGCAGGTCCTTCAGCGCTTCAACTTCACGTACTCCTCGCCTCAGGCCACTCCTCTGTCTACTAGCCACTCGCTCTCAGCTCTGCCTTCGGATCAATCCGTAGAGCCGAGTGGCCTGTACCCAGAGCTTGTTGGCCGCCTCATGTACCTGATGACCTGCACTGGACCTAACTTGGCATACCCTCTTAGCATCTTTGCACGCTATGTTGCTCCTGCAAGACCCTGACCAGAGCACAGGGCTGCAGCGAAGAGGGTGTTGCGCTACCTGTGAAGTACGTCGGGCATAGGGCTAGTGCTTGGAGGACGGGCTCGAGTTGTTCTCACTCGTCACGCAGACGCTTCTTGGGTCGACGACTTGGCTAGGTAGGGGTCATCACGGGGTTACGCCTTCAGCCTTGGCTCCGGTTCTGTTTCGTAGCGGTCTACCTGCTCGTCTTTTGTTCTCAGGTCCATCTGTCAGGCTGAGATCTATGCAGGGGCCATGGCTGCACAGGAGTTACGCTGGCTCACCTATCTGCTGACCGACTTGGCAGAGGTGCCTCGTTCTCCTCCAGTTGTGTACGTTGATAACAAGGCCATGCTGGCCTTTTATCAGGAGCACAGACTGGAGCACAGAACGAAGCACATTGCCCTTCGCTACTTTCTTGCTCGAGAACTGCAGCAGCGCGGTCAGCTTCGTCTTGCTTACGTGGCCTTTCGGGCCAACACTTCCGATATCTTCACCAAGGCACTTCCGCCTTGTGATCATCAGTGTTTTTGTTTTGTTCTAGGCCTTGTGCCTACCTTGCCTCACCTTCTCACTTCTTGATTTTGCTTATACTGTGATCTATATATCTATATCTGCATGCTTTCACTTGCTAGGTTTTGATCACTATCTTGTTTGTTCTATGCTATATAACTGTGCATGTGAATTGGCATGATGGTTGTCTGCTTGCACTCAGAATGTGTGGTGACGTTGTGATCCACCCTGAGCTTGCTTTGCTTCTCTTGATTGGTCTTGTGGCCCCCTCTTTGCTCTCCCCCACTTTGCCTATGGGGGTGTGTCAAACTTATACTCTACAGTTTGTTGAGGTTGTAGTGGGGTAGTTACTATAGGGTACAGTAAGTTTAGGGTTTTCTAATGTACCCACCACTTTCCTAGTGCAAACACACTTGTTGATTTTGACAAGTTGCAGCCAATACCACCCCCAGAGCATGCTTGGCAGCAGGTGACGATGGACTTCGTCACGGTGTTACCGGCCGGGGCGAGTGGGAACGACGCGATCCTGGTCGTCGTCGATCGACTGACGAAAATGGCACATTTCGCAGCCTACAAAAAAATCAATCACAGCCGAAGAAACAGCTCGACTCTTCATCTCCATCGCCGTTCGATTGCACGCAATACCGTCAGCGATCATCAGCAACCGCGACACGAAATTCACCAGCAACTTTTGGCGGAACCTGTGGCAGCAGTTCGGCACGCGACTACGGTTCAGTTCTTCGTACCACCCTGAAACCAATGGACAGACAGAATGGACAAATCAGACTATGGAACAACTCATCCGAGCCACGTGCGACGACCCAACCACTTGGGAACAACAGCTGCCACTCATTGAGTTCGCATACAACAACTCACCATCCGCCACGACCCAACAGTCACCGTTTTACCTAAACTACACACAAGACCCAACAGTACCCATGACCCCGAATCACGACAACCCGGTGCCACGAGCACAACAGTTCGCAGAAATTTTACAAGCAGCACGGACTCGGGCAGCAGACGCAATAAATAAATCGAACATCATCGCTAAAAGTAACGCCGACCGCCACCGCCGACCTGTCACTTACCAACCTGACGACCTAGTTTTACTCGACACTCAGAACCTTTGCCTGCCCATCACCCCAAAACTCCACCTCCGATATTGCGGGCCATTTCGCATAAGCCACATGATTAGACCCGTCAGCGCCCACCTCCTCCCCGCTGACTGGTACGTCAGCCCGTCTTTCCACGTCAGCTTACTTCGCCCCTACATACCGTCCACAAGCCAACTACCACGTAATCGCCCAGCCAGTATGACACGACCGCCGATTGAACCACTCATCACACCCGAGAGAATTCTGAGCCGCAGAGTTCGTGACCCTCGAGAGCCCAAAGGATCGAGTTCCTGATCCGCTGGAAAGACCGTACACCCACCGAAGACAACTGGGTTCCACTGGACAGAGTCGAAAACCACAGCGTGCTCATAGAGTATCTGTGCAGCCGAAACTTCAGGGATGTACACGCGCTTTCATAAGGAGGACCTCCTTAGGGGGGGGGGGGGGGGGGGGGGGGGGGGGGGTAGTGTAAGGAAAATTCCTTTTCCTTACTTCGCGTCCTCGTTCAGCGCGTACACCACTGTAGCACCACAGTCAGCACCGTTACCACTCGCAACCCTCGAATCGACAAACCTCCCGCCACGTTCGCACGTCGCACCCCGACCTCACGGCTCGGCGGGTAACCCGCGCTCCAGACCTCCGCTTCGACATTATCCCCAAACCTCAGTTCCAGGCCCGTCACGCGACAACCACAGTCCATTACATTTATTCTTCGCTCATGCCTTCGCTCATTGTATTCTTGCTTCGATAGTGCAATTTTTGCTCGATCACTCAATTGCACTCGTAACAGGTTACGACCTATCAATTAGACAACTAAATTTTAAAACTTGAACTTCCCAAAGGGCGAAATTGGGCAGGAAGGTACGAAAGTTGGTATTGGAAGACCCGAAGGTGGGCCAATTTCGTGTCATCCACGGGGAATTTTTACGCGAGCCATGAATGGACACTGCCACTCCCTCCTCCGAGATCCTGCTGGCATTAGATAGGGCTTATACATGCCATATGTTGAAAGCATATTTTTTATGTTAGTCACATTAGTGATCTTTCGCTACATCGGGTACTTTCATAACGAATAGGCTGGGCTTCTCTACTCACTTCATGATGCAGGAAAACACTCACATTCGCTTCTTCCACACGGCACACGGCACCCTCAGGACAAGGGCACTCGGGAGGGTCGGGTTAGGATCTCTTGTGTTCACCGAGCCTCTGGCACTGTTCACTAATCAGGCGTAGTGTTCATTTGACGATTGGACTTCTGTGATCTGCCCCCACTTGTGATCACGATCGTCAGTGGGGTGTGTACAGTACGGCACAACAACGATTTTTTTCCCGTTTGTCGAAACCCCGAAATGTTTCGCCTTACATCGGGTATACGGAGTTGCGCCCCCTGTTTTGTCGCGTGAGGTATATTGTGTTTCGCGGATGTTTGACAATGAAATTTTGCGGACTCGCTAACCAGCGATCGATCTTGCTTGACCACTGACGCCCGATCGAAAGATTGGCGTGGATCCCTGGATGATCGGTTGCCCCAATTGAACATTGCATATGAGGTAGCAATCGAGTAGTGTAGAGATTTACTGTAGCTTGATTACAAATGTTCTGGCATAGAGGCCCTTCCTAACAGAGTCCCATTTCCTCAACGAGTAGATCTTTCACATGTCCTAGGTGTATCCCCTCCTCTACAGTCCAATTTTTGGCGGGAAATCTTGTATCTTGACTGAATCATTGCGCGAATCAGTTCTGCAGCCAATCAGAGGACGTAAATCGAACCTGTCAGAACAACAAGAGAAAAAAAAACGATAGGAAATTTTGATTCAATATTTATTACTAGCAGTTGTATTTGTCTGGTTATCTTGACCTCTCTTGCGTCTACATCCTGTCGCGCGGCTCCCCGCGAGCTCCGACGATGCCATCTCATTAATCTCGCTTACAGTGTAAAACAGAAAATGGTGTCTTCATTCCGGCCTTAAACCTAATTTATTTTGTATTTTTATGCCCGTTTGTCCTGCGACACTGATCAACGCGGCGAACCGTGCGACGAGAAGTTGAGGACAGCGTAGTCCGAATGTACGTATGTGACTGAACAACACGAGTAGTAGCAATGAAAAATCGCTCTGAATGCAAATTTTCTTTTAAGGGACTATAAGTTCCCTTTTGCCCGGTGTTTGTGAGTTTTCCACAAAGGCCCGCAGCGCGCGTGTTTTTTATTGGGACTCTAACCAAGAACATTTGTAGATGTATGGTAACCAGGAAACCACCTAAAAAATCGAACCCTGCCCCTCACGGATCGGTGTGAGTGCCCGCGTCATCATATGTCTCCCATGCCATCCCATCCCACACACCACCCTGCCCCACACTTGGCGGTCAAGTTCCTGCAGAAAATCCAAGCTGGCTGGCGGTCAAGTCGGCGGTGGTGGCTCGGTGCGCTTCGCCAACATACACGCAACGCGATTTCGACTATTTTTAAATTTTGCTGCTGCTCTTTTCTTGCAGCAGCAAGTAGTGTCTCTCCATAGCGCGTGCATGTAGTCCGGTATACCGCACTTTCTTGGTGAAGCACCTACAACCCGTCTCTCGCTCTACTCCCGAGACTCGTCGCTCTCTCTCTCTCTCTCACTCTCTTTGCCTACTCTCTCTCACCATGGGAGGTCAATTCGACGCGGGACCGGTCCCCTTATTCCGCGCGCAGCCGCGTCCCGGCTCCCGCCGCCGTCTCACGGCCACCCCGCCCCCGTACACGCATCCGCGCGTCCTCTTCACGGAGGCGGACCGCGCCGACCTCACGCGCCGAGCGCTGCACGGGGACGCCGCCGCGCCCACCGCCGTCCCACGCCAGGCGTTCGAGGATCTATCGCGGTGGGCGGACCGCGTGGTATACGCCGCGGATTCCCCCATCAAGCAGATTTTCGACGTGCTCGCGGGGACGATTTCCCCGCGCCTCCCCTGCGGCGACCCGCGCAAGGCCTTCGCGGGGCTGAAGGCGCTCGTTACCGACGCGGGTTCGAAACCTCCCGGCGCGGTTATCAACGGGGCGTTTTACACGCGGATGTTCGACATGGGAGTGGCTCCAGCGACGAAGAATTACGTGCTGAAGAGCGCCGGAATCGTGCCGCCGCCCCCCGCCACGGACGCGACGCCGTCTCTCGGGGTAAAGCTGCTGTTCGGCTCGCAAGACGCGGGCGTTCCTAGTTTCTACCCTCCCATCTACGAAGCTTTGCAGAACGCGGCGTACGTGGCGTGGGTGCGCGGCGACCAGAAGCGCCTGGAGTATCTGGCGGGCGTGCTGGGCGTGGCGGCCGGCGTGCACCTGCTGTTCCACGCGCGCGGGTCGCTCGTGCTCGTCAAGGGCGAAGGGGGCTTCTGCAAGTAAGTGAGGGGGGGGGGGGGGGGGGGGGGGGGGCGCTGCGAGGGGAACGGGAGAGAGGTGGGGGGTGAGGGAATTCGTAGGTTCGTGTCACACCATGCATATTCACTGCGTTTGTGCACAATTGCTGTGCTTGCCATACGAACACGCCCTTCGCATTTTTTATGCCACAATTCCAAGTGCTGTGTGCTTTCCCCCACCACACCACCTCAGCCGCTTCCCCTTCCTCTCCCTCCCTTTCCCCCTTCTCTCCCCCCCCGTACCCACGTCTGAGTCAATACGAAATTCACCCTGCATCCCTCCCCTTCCGCCCAACCCTCTCTCCCCAATTCCAGGTACAACACAGGGCCGCGCAGCAACAGCTTCTGAGTCAACTCGCTACCCTCCCCTCCTCCCCCACCCGCAGGTACAACACGGGGCCGCGCAGCGACAGCTCCGCCTCAACCGCGCTCGCCCTCGCCTACGACCTGCTCTTCACGCCGTCCCTCCGCGCCACCGGCTCCCGCGCGCAGCTCGCCCCCGCGCGCCGCCTGCTGCTGCGCATGGGGCGCAACCGCGTGGCGTCCGCGTTCAACGCGGACCCGTACCGCATGGGCAAGGGCGCCGCTCTCAACCCCTTCTACACCGGCACTACGTTCCAGTTGGCGACGGCGCTGGTGCTGCTGGTGCAGTATGCGGTGGAGGGCGAGGAGGAGGAGGACTGGGAGGAGCCGTGGGATGAGGCGGACAGGGAGGAAGAGGAGATGAGGAGGAAGGGGGTGGTGGTGGTGGGTGGGGTTGGTGCGGGGGTGAGTGGGGATGTGAAGGGGTGGAGGGAGAAGGTGCGGTACGATTCGGTGGCAGTGGATTTGAATGTGAAGTCGCTCTTCTATTACATGACCTATGCTGGCGCCTGTGATCCCACTGGTGCGTGTGTGCCGTTCCGTTTCACGCCAACCCCTCCACTCCACTGATCTTGCCTGTACATTTTGTTTGTGCATCCCTTGTTATTATCTCAAACCTCGCATTAGCATCCGATAAGACGTCCCACACGACTGTTCTGCTAAGTTACGGCTTCCTTTGGATCACGAAATTCCTTTCCCTCCCCAACCCCAACCCCTCTCTCGCCTCCCTTCATCCCCACCTCCTCCCCATCCCCCCTCCCCTTCTTACCCTCCCCACCCCCCAGGCGTGACACGCGAGTTCCCTGGGTACTTCATGACGCCCATGCGGCAGGCGGCCTTACCCATGCTGGCAGTCATGCGGCGAGGCCACGACGTGTTCACCGACCCCACCAACACCTACCAGCTGCTCATGGACGTCTTCCAGACCCTCGCGCCCTGGTCGCTCGCGCCGCCCTGCTTCGGCGCGCAGGACGGCACGTGCTTCTGTGGGGGGTTCTCCCAGAGCGAGTACTATCTTTTAGCTAAGTACCTCTTTCCGGGGGACCCGCTCACGGATTTTGTGTACCAGAAGTATAACACGCAGCCGCGGACGAAGCAGATTGGCGCGTTTGGCGTGAACAAGATGCCGTTCCAGGCGTGTTTGTTAGGCATGGATGTGACCAAGAAGAATATTTCGTTTCTGCAGGTGGCGTCGGTGGTTGGCCTTCCGCTTGTGCTGTTTGCGAACCGGCTGGGTACTGGTACGGCACGGTCGGGGTGGGGCGATGGCAGCACCACTGCTGCTACCACTCCTGCTGCTGCCGCTGCTGCTGCGGGTGCTATTGCTGCTAAAGAGTGGGAGGCGGAGCTAGCTGCAGCAGTAAAAGCAGCACAGCCAGGCGAAAAAATCTCCCCTCCCCCCCCAGCCTCCACACCCCCTGTCATCCCTTTTCCACGCATCCCCCTCCCGTCTCCCACCTTCCCGGTCACCCCACCCTGGTCCGCCTCCCAAGTGAGCACGGACGAGCAGGGCCTTCTCCTCTTCTTCGAGTGCCGCCCCGACACCTACTTTCTAGACCACTGCCACGCATCCCGCAACGACTTCTACCTGCTCGGCTGCTCCCGTGCTTGGATCTGCCCGGCGCTGTACCACAACGTGGAGAGCGAGGCGTGCTCGTCCGTGCTCATCGACGGGCTGGGGCAGGGCGGGACGCACACGCTGGAGGCGGAGGCCAAGGGGTTTCCGCTCACGTGGAGCTGCATGCCGGGGAAGGTGGTGGGCACGTGGCATGAGGAGCGGCTGAGCTGGTTTGCCGGGGATGCCAGTGCTGCGTACCGGTTTGTCACCCATGGATGGCAGGTGAGCGACGGGCGTGGGGAAAGTGGGTGGGTGGGTGAGTTGGGGTGCGTGCGTGGGCGGGGGGGTGGTAGAGCGGGTGAACGGGCGGGCAGGTGAGGGGGTGGGGGGAGGGGGAAGGTGGGTGTGCGAGTGGTGGGCGTTGGGAAGCCATGATTGTTTGTTTTTTGTGATCTTGTTTTGCAAGTCTGGATGGTGTAGTCGGTTATCACGCCAGTCTCACATACTGTGCAACACTTTTCCACTCGGTCGCAAGTGCATGGTGCTTGTTTGGCCTTTCCTGTGCGTGCTTGGGTTGCCTCCCACCGTCCCTACCTTCTCGTTCACTCACCACACCATTCCCCACATGTGCCCCACACGGCCTCTTGTAAGCACTCCGCCACTCACTCCCCCACCCCCCCTGTCTCTTCCCCCTTCTCCTTCCCTCCCTGCCACACCATCCCTCCAGGTACCCCACCCGGGCAGCGAGGCCACAGGACGACAACATTGAAACCCCGTACGCAGGGAAGGACTTTTACTATGAACCCGTGGACTTCTGTAGGTTGTCACTCACTCCTCCTCACCTCTCCCCTCTCCGCTGTTCTCCTCCACGCCACACCATCCCTGCAGGTACCCCGCCCGGCAGCGAGGCCACAGGACGACAACAACATTGAAACCCCGTACGCATGGAAGGACTTCTATTACGAACCCGTGGACTTTGGCCCCTCGCTCGTGCCCAAGATCATCAAGAAGGGCACCCCTGCTGCTGCTGCTGGGAGTGCGGGGGCAGTGCCGGGGGCAGGAGACCCAGAGGTGGAGCCGGAGTGGGTGGACGATAATGCATGGGCGTCGTGGCACATCTGTGCGCGCCAGGAGTTCAACCCCGTGCGCTATGCCTACCGCACCGCCGCTCTCATCCGCGCCAAAGTCAGGGCCAGCGGCGGCACCGGTGGCGGCGGCGGCAGTGCAGGTGCAGGAGGCACGTGCGCAGCACCAGTCCCAGGAAAGGACGCCAAGACTTGCCCTGTGAACCCCGCTCAGGCGCCAAAGTCGCGGCCGTATGTGATCATAGTGGATGATATCCGCAAGGACGAGAGGGTGCACACGTACACGTGGGTAGCCAATACCACCCAGCCGTACATGGCCATGGTGGGGTACGGCCAGCGCCTCTTCCTGCTCACTGGCCCTCAGAAGCAGCAGCAGAAGCCGGGTGCTGCAGCAGCGCCTGCAGCAGCAGCAGCTGCAAGCGACGATGTGATTATCTCTCCGGAAGAAGCGAGGCGGTATGCGTCTCTGGATCCAACCACAGACGCCATCTTCATCCGGGGGGACGACGTGCATCCCAAGACCCGCCATGCGCTCCCAGGCACGCCACGCATGCTGCTGCGCGTGCTGCAGGGCGACGGGCACCGCTCTGCACCCATCCGGCTCGTGAAGGTGGAATCCAGCAAGTCGCCCCAGGGCCCGGGCAGTGGCAAGGGGCCGTACTATGCCGGTGTGGCGACCGGTGGCGAGTACTGGCGTGTGGAGGTAGAGAGGAAGGCTGTGGTGGAGCCGAGGTTCAAGATCATGCTGCTGCCGTTCCTGGAAGGGGAGGAGCTGCCGGTGACAGGGTGGCACAGGGGGAGAGGAGGTGTGGGTGGGAAGGAGGGCCCGGAGCTGCTGACTGTGACGTGGGGAGGCGGGGTGTGCGGTGCTGCTGCTGCTGGTGGTGGTGGGGGTGGCTGTGGGGGAGTGGGGCATGAGGCAGTTGTGGACTATTTATTGTTTGAGAGGGGCAGTGAAAATAGGACGCGAGTGACGCTGCTGGAATGATGGCAACTGGGGAGGAGGGTGGGGTGGTTGGTTTTTGCTGTATTTATTGTACTGTCATTGTTAACAGATATATAAACCGTAGCTCAATTTCTCTGTATGTCCTCTACAGGGTCAGCTAAGGGCACCTCATTACCAGGTCACGTGCTCAGCCTTTCCCATCCTCCCCCACACAACATGCACTTGTTTCCCACAAAAGCCAACCTCCGCCACCGCTTTCTCCGCCACCCCACTGCCATACACATCCACGTGCCTCAGCGCCCTCGCCGCTCTGAGCGATTCTGGTAAATATTTAACCGCCTCACACTACCTCAGTTGAAGCACTTCCAAGCGTGGCAGCAGGCTGAGGGTGGAAGGGAGGGAGTGCAGCTGCTAGCAATGGCTGAAGCAGGCCACTCGGGGCGTGGACATGGAGGAGAAGGACCCGGGAAGGTGCGTGAATGAGTCGCATTCGACAATTTTGAGGCTGGTTAGGCGGGGCAGCAAACGAAAGTTCTCGGAAAGGGAGGCGAAATCCGGGCATTTGAAGATGCTGAGAATGGTGAGGGAGAGCAGGGCGGAGAACGAGTCGGGCAGATGGTGAAACTTTTTGCACGAATCGGCAGAGAGGCACTGCAGGGAGCATAGCGAGCCGAAGGTAAAAGGCAAGGCAGTGAGATCATCGCAGTGGGTAAGAGTAAGCGTGTGCAGACGAGGGAGGAGGCAGAAGGAGGGAGGCAGGCTGAAACCGTGAGAACAGCGAGCCAAAAGAGACCTCCTCAAGCGAGGAGAAGCCTCCCAGAGTGTCAGGCAGAGGATATCTCAACCCACCACGAATATGCAGCTTCTTCAGTGATCTCAGGCAGCCAAACCCCGGAGGTAGGGCTTCCAGGCTGTCGCACAAGTCAAGAGTGAGCTCTTCCAGGCGCGACAACTGACAAATCTCTGTGGGCACCTGCTTTAGGGCTTTGCTACCAATGAACAGGCGGCGCAGGGAGGTCAGGTCACAGAGAGTTCGCGGAAGCCCATCGCTCAAAGAGCAGCCTCTCAGCTCCAGCCACTCCAAGGCTGCCAGCTGGCCCAGATCTTCTGGAAGCGACACGTGGCTGCAGTGGTGCCAGTCGTACTCTATGTGTAGCGTGCGGTGGGCGAGTAGGCGCGCAACGCCAGGCAGGGAGGAGGGAAGGTGCATGTTGTGGAGGCGGAGGTGTGAGAAAGGAAGGGAACGCGCGCTGAAATGCATTCGAGCTCTTGCCGCCACTGTAGTAGTGTAGCTTCAGCGAGCGCAGGCACGGGGCAAGGCGGGAGACGGAGTGCGGAAGGAAGAGCCAGGTGCCACACAGGGAGAGAGAGCGCAGGTTGGTGAGATGGCCTAGATCCGAGGGGAGTATGAGGGACGAGGAGAGTCTGTCGATGGAGAGGTGCGTGAGGGAGAGCAGCGAGCACAGACGCGCGGACAGCGTGATGCTTCTCCTGCCGTACCCCAGGCTGCCCAAGTACATGGTGAGATGCTTCAGCGACGGGCTGAGTGCCGAGTGGTGCCCTGCTGCGGCTGCTGATGCTGCTGCGTCTGCGTCTGAGTCTGCGTCTGCGGCGGCAGCAGCGGGATGATTCCGTGCGACGTACCCCGTCGTGTTCTCCACCGCCGTCACGTCATGAGGTTCCACCCACACGAAGTAGCGCATATTCACGTACGCCAGCAACGGCAGCGTGAAGATCGCCTCGGGAACGCGCTCCTCGTGGTTGTAGCTTGCCAACTCCAGCCGCTCCAGAGATATGAGCTGACTTAGCGGCTCGAGGGATACGTTGGAGCTGACATAGTTGATCTTTAGTTGGCGCAATGCTGTCGCGAAGGGCAGTATGGGTGGCAGCTCCCCGCAGAAGCTGATGGTGAGGTGCGTGAGCGCGTGCACTGATGCGAGGTGGAAAGTGCGCATTTCGTCGCAAGAAGAGAGAGTGACTTGCTCGAGGTTCGCCCAGTTTTCTCATTCCACTGGTAACGCGCGGTTGAAGTTTCGCAGCTCCAGTCGCCGCATCTGCTGCAGCGCGCCGACGCGAGGCGGGAAGCGATCGACCTGCCACGAGCCGTCGACGTGGAGAGAGGTGAGCGAGGCGAGATCGCCGAGCGAGTCAGGCAATCGCCGCATTTCCTTGCAGCCTGTAAACGAGAGGTGCTCCAGCCTCGTTAGCCGACCGAAATTCTCGGGCAGCTGCTGCAGCAACGGGCAGCTCAGGTAAAGTTCTTGCAAGGAAGACAGCCGACACATTTCGTCGGGCAGCGAGCGGAGAACCTTGGAGCACAGGCGGAACACGCGCAGCGACGACAGCGACGCGACTGAAGCAGGAAGCTTCGTCGTGTGGCCGAAGCATTCGCGCAGCGAGAGCTCTTGCAGGCGCGACGACGCGAGGCGGAAGAAATTCTCGACAGCTTTCGTGCCGATTCGAAAGTGGGGCGCTCCGGTGAAGCGGGGAGGGGCGATGCTGAGGCGGGCGAGCTGAGGGCGCGCGGAGAGCAGGCGAGACAGGAACTCGTCGTCGTAGAAATCGACGGCGTTCGCCTCCAGAGAAAGCGCCGTGACGCTCGGCGCGAGCGTCAGCGCGCGGAAGAGCGCCGGCGCGGAGACCGCGGGGGCGGAAAGCGTAATCTCGCGCCGATCGGGACCGCGGAGTTCGGAAAACTGTGACTTAAAGTCGCCACTGACGCGCAGGGTCGTCATGAGCAGCATCCATCGCTTACAAACGACCGCGAGGTTGCTAAATCGGGGACATCCGTGAAGTTCGGCTCGCCAGTCCGGCCAGCACCATCCTCAGCGTCAACTTCTGCTGTCAGTCCTGCAGAATTGGCGACAGTGGCAAGTGTGATAATTCTGGAAAGAAGCTCGTCAGGCAGATGGTCGACGTGGCTCGCGCCCTGTTGGCCATTGATTGGGAAAGCTGCTCACCTGGCGTTCCCGCTTCACGAGGTACAGACGTTCAGAAAATTGACATTCCTAGAGTTCTACTTCCACGAATGAGTCGGAAACTAAACAGAAATTTGTCGCCACTGCAACGTTTTCCCACGGTATTGGTAAATGTGTTAGAACGAGAAGGCTGAGGCAATACGGACCGTTGTATGAGAATGCGAATCCAGTAAACCATTCCTAGGCCCTGGATTTGTGCTCCTGAAACAAGAAAACCAAGTCGCGAGCGAGGTGGCTGGAGCCGAGCTTGACACAAAAGTTCTTAGGAAATGGAAATCTGTAGATCTTTGGCGAGCTGAGCTGAAGAGATTGGCTGGAAACATGCAACGCCTCATGGCTGAGCGAGGAGGATTTTGGGGGGAATGACAACACCTCGAGGAGGTGACCTCGTTGCTGCATGTCAGGTGAGTTGTTTGAGAGGGGCAGTGACAATACCGTACGTTCCTCTTTACTATGCTCAGTTATAAGCTTCATCTCAGAGACGTCCAGCAGGTACCGTACTAAGGTGAAAAGGAAAAACATATTTACATTATTAGGGGCGCTCACAGAACCAGCACCATAGGAGCCAACATTATCTTTACTCCAATTTCAGCTCTGCACATCCTCTCCCCTCCTCCCCTTGTCCTTCGTCCCCACGTGCTCCGCCTTTCCCATCCTCCCCCACACAACATGCACTTGTTTCCCACAAAAGCCCACCTCCACCACCCCTTTCTCGGACACCCCACTGCCATACACATCCACATGCCTCAGCGCCCTCGCCTGCCTGAGCGACCCCGGCAGTGACTTGAGCGCCTCACACTCCCTCAACTGAAGCACTTCTAAGCGCGGCAGCTTGCCAAGGGTGGGCGGGAGGGAGTGCAGCTGCTTGCAGAGGCTGAAGCACGCCTCTCGGAGCGCAGGCAGGGAAGAGAAGGAGCCAGGAAGGTGCGTGAATGAGTCGCATTCGACAATTCGGAGGCGGGTTAGGCGGGGCAGCAACCCAAATGTCTCAGGGAGGGAGGAAAATACCGGGCACTTGGAGATGGTGAGAAAGGTGAGGGAGGAAAGGGCGGAAAAGGAATCGGGCAGATGGTGGAACTTCTTGCACGAGTCGACAGAGAGGCGCTGCAGGGAGCATAGCGAGCCGAAGTTGGACGGCAGGGTGGTGAGATCGTTGCAGCTGGTGAGAGTAAGCGAGAGCAGGCGAGGGAGGAGGCAGAAGGAGGGAGGCAGGCGGAAACTGTGAGAGCAATCACTCAAGGAGAGCTCCTCTAGGGATGATAAGCCGCTAAGGGTTTCAGGCAGATAGTCATTCCGCCCACTGCGAATGCTCAACTTCTTCAGTGATCCCAGGCGGCCAAACCCAGGGGACAGGGTTTCCAGGTTCATGCACCAGCCAAGAGAGAGCTCTTCCAGGCGAGACAGCTTAGAGATCTCCTTGGGAAAGCGCTTCAAGGAGTCACTACTGAGGTGGAGACGCCGCAGGGCGCTGAGGTCACAGAATGACTGCGGAAGCGCAGCTCCCACGGAGCAGTCCTTCAGCTCCAGCCACTCCAACGCTGCCAGCTGGCCGAGGTTTTGTGGAAGCGACACGTGCGTGGGGCCACCGCTGTCGTACTCTATGCGCAACGTGCGGAGGGCGCGCAGGCGCGCAAAGGCAGGCGGGGGGGATGGGACGTGCATGTTGCAGAGGTGGAGGTGCGTGAGGGAGGTGAGACGCGCGAGACAGGACGGGAGGTCCCGGCGGAAGGTATCCGCGTAGTTGTCGCCGCTGTAGTTAAGTTTCAGGGATTGCAGGCACGGGGCGAGGCGGGAGAGCGAGTTCGGCAGGCAGAGCCAGGTGCCGCGGAGGGAGAGCGAGCGCAGGTTGGTGAGATGACCGAGGTCGGAGGGGAGGAGGGACGAGGAGGAGAGACAGTCGATGGAGAGGTGCGTGAGGGAGAGCAGCGAGCACAGGCGCGCGGAGAGCCTGTCGCCACTCCGGCCGTACAACAGGTTGCCGAAGCGCATGCTCAGATGCTTCAGAGACGGGCCCAGCGGCGAAACGGAGCCCGTCTCTCCACCACCTGCTGCTGCTGCTGCTGCTGCTGCTGCTGCTGCGGTGGCGGCTGGTGTGGCTGCGGCTGCTGCGGCGGCGGCGGCGGCGGCGGCGGCGGCAGTGGGATGATACGGTGCTGGGTACGCGAAGAGCGCGGCGAGCTCCCTCGCCTCCTCCCAGGCCGCCACGTGGTCTGCTTCCACCCACGACACGTACCCCGCTTTCACGTACGCCAGCGACGGCAGAGCGAAGAGCGCCTCGGGAAAGCGCTCCGTCGGGTCGACGCTTGACACCTCGAGCCGCTCCAAACATACGAGATTGCTTAGCGACTCGAGGGATACGCCGGGAAAGACACTAACGCCGATTGTTAGATGGCGCAATGCCGACGCGAAGGGCAGGTTGGGTGTGAGCGACTGGAGCCTATAGCAGGCACTGATGGTGAGATGTGTGAGGGAGTGTACGGACGCGAGCTGGAAAGCGCCCATGTCGGCGCACGAATCCAGAGTTACGTTTTCGAGTTTCGCCCATTTCTCGCATGCGTCTGGTAACGACGCGCCAGTGAAGTTTCGCAGCTCCAGTCGCCGCATCTGCTGCAGCGCGCCGACGCGAGGCGGGAAGCGATCGACCTGCCACGAGCCGTCGACGTGGAGAGAGGTGAGCGAGGCGAGATCGCCGAGCGAGTCTGGCAGGCGCCGCATTTCTGTGCAGTCTGTAAACGAAAGGTGCTCCAGGCTCTTTAGCCGGCCAAAATTTTCGGGCAGCTGCTGCAGCAACGGGCAGCTTAGATAAAGTTCCTGCAGGGCAGACAGCCGGCACATCTCGTCGGGCAGCGAGCGGAGAACCTTGGAGTGGAGGCGGAACACGCGCAGCGACGACAGCGACGCGACGGAAGCAAGGAGCTTCGTCGTGTGGCCGAGGCATTCGCGCAGCGAGAGCTCTTGCAGGCGCGACGACGCGAGGCGGAAGAAATTCTCGACAGCTTTCGTGCCGATTCGAAAGTGCGGGGTTCCGGTGAAGCGGGGAGGGGCGATGCTGAGGCGGGCGAGCTGGGGGCGCGCGGAGAGCAGGCGAGACAGGAACTCGTCGTCGTAGAAATCGACGGCGTTCGCCTCCAGAGAAAGCGCCGTGACTCTCGGCGCGAGCGCCAGCGCGCGGAAGAGCGCCGGCGCGGAGATGGCGGGAGCGGAAAGCGTCATGGCGCGCAGCTCGGGACCGCGGAGTTCGGAATGCTTTGACTTAAAGCCGCCGCGGACGCGGAGGATCGTCATCAGGAGCATCCATCGCTTGCAAACGACAGCGAGGTTGCTAAAATCGGGGGCATCCGTGAAGTTGGGCACGCTAGTCTTGCCGGTTTCATTCGCGGCGTCAAGTTCTGCTGTCGATTTTGCGGAGGTGGCGGCAGTCGTCGCGAGCGAGATAATTCTGGAAAGAAGCTCGTCTGGCAGATGGTTGATCGACGTGGCTCGCGCCCTGTTGGCCATTGACGGGGAAAGCTGCTCCCCCCGACTTCCCGCTTCACGAGATTTTGCCATCCTTAGTTGACGCGAATGAGACATCCTTACTTCATACGTAAATCCCTAAGTTCTGCTTTCACGAATGAGGAAGACTGATTGAGCCGTCAACTAAGAAGAGCAACGTCTCGTATACTTCGTTTTGAAGGAATGTGTGAAAGAGAAATGTTTGTCCTGATGAGTATCCCGTTCCCATTCCATCCCACCCCTCATGAGGAGAAAAGAGGGAGGATTTGCGGGGGAAAGACAGCACGTCTCTGCCCTGCAGCATGCATGTCAGTTGCAAGGCGACACGAGAATGGGAACAGTTCACTCGATTTTCGGGCGGATTTCCGAAACGAGCAAGGATTCGCTTTTGATACTATTATGAGTAGTAAGGATTCTTTCTACATTCCTTATACAATACCAACAGTTTCTTCGCTAGTTACTGTAACTGCGTTACACCGCATTTGCGCAACATTTTTTGCCAAACCTCGCACTGCTGGGCTGGCCCGATTCGGCCTACGCTTCATGGCTAGCCCGAACCTCACTTTCAGCTTCGCACTAGCTGGCTCGTACGCACCGCGTTACCGCTTTGTTCATTTCGCTATACCGTAAAATGTTTGTTCACCCTTTCGCTCACATTTGTACTCGTTTGCCAACTTAGTGTGATCCTCGTTCGTCATATTGCACCCGTAACGCTTGGCTATCAGAGTCATTTTCCTTCGGACCGCACAATTTTCCGTAACCAGCAAAAAAAAAATTCTCTCGAAAGAACTGACGCCCCTTTGCGTACTAGGAGCCGCTTGTTGAAGAAGGCCCCGCCCTCGCTTGGGCGCAGCCAATCTCGCCGACGGGAAGTTTTCGACGGACTGGTCGACAAAGTGGGCTTTTGCAGTTCGACGGAAGTAGCGGTCGAGCAGGTTCTGCTCGACTGAATTTGGTCGACATCGCCGACGGGAAGCACTAGTCGAAGACAGCGGTTGATGACGCCCGTCGAGAAGCGATGGTCGAAGAGGAGCGATGGTCGAAGAGCTCCGTTCGACGAACTCTGCGCGACGAGCTCTGGTCGAAAAGTTCTGGTCGATGAGCTCTGCTTTGCAAACACTGTTCGACCGAGCGGTGTCCAGCTAATCGACCGAATTTGCAGAGGTGTGCGAAACTTTGCGGAGGTGTGCGAAACTTTGCCCTAGATGTTTTGGCGAAGTTCGACCTGCGGAACGGCAGGACGTGGTCGACGGTGCGCACCTGGCGAAACCGACGACACGTTTTCTACCTGGCACTTGCGCAATATGCCTGACGGTGAAACCGTCAACCTGCACCTACTTGGTAGGTGCGCACATCTGCGGAGATAGAAAACCTGCGACAGCAGATAGTCACCTGCGACTGCAGTGCTGGCAGACCGCGCGCAGTGCAACGCTGACAGACTACTCTGTTGGAGCGTTGGCAAGCCGCTCTTCTGCTGCGCTCGTAGATTTCGCCCTTGCTAGGTGTTGCATGCCATTCTTGTCATATCTTTGTGCATGCCTCAATTGTACACTATTCTTTTCAACAATGTTCTTTCAACTTTCTATTCTTATTCTTGCCAAACTTCTCCGTGAACACAAGCAAGAAGTAAGAACGCTAGCACAACGCTACGATCACTCGCACAACCCCGTGGCCTCCTCCTAGCCCACTCCCGTTGTGTAGTGACTCTCCGCACCGCTGTCCCCTCACTCTCTCGAAAGCACCTGCAGCCACGACAGCGCCTACCACCTAGCGGGCCGACACCCTTCGGAATGGCGACCACATTTTTCTTGTCGACTTTACGTCGCGCCTAAACGAGCTGACACATCAACTGCACAAAAGCGTCGAAGAAATCGCGACGCTGATAGCAGAACGTGAGTCACGCCAATGCAACGTAAACCGAGCGCAAGCATAGACACAGACACATGTAACAGCAGCACCGACAATACCAACAACATTCCGACACGGGAGCGTGGGACAACATAAAAATGCTGCTAGTAAAGGCCCTGCGCGCAACAAAGTTCGCGATGACCATAGGACGGCAAACCCCGAAGCGACGAATGCGGCGGATAACTAGCGACACGTCCACATCACGGTGCAGAACGATAGGTAGGCACTCCCATCGATGCCACTCAAGGCGCAGCATCCGCCATGCATTAACCCGAGTCAACGGGGATTTTGGATGGTTTAGGCAGTTTCTTCACCATGAATGTTTTTTTTACGCCAATCACATCTCGTCGGACCCGACGACCGTGTCGTTGCCGCGAGGACCCGCCATGGATTGGTGACGCATCATCGTCACGAAGCCGAGCGACTACAAACCATACAGCAAAGGAAGGGGTCAACTGAACACTTGGCGCCGTCGTATTTCGTGAAGGTCGCCCAGTATTGCACGTGGGATACATGGTGCGCGGGTCTGTGCAGGAGGTTCGAGCCAATCGCAGTGTCAATCTTCGCGTGACAGAAGTTGCACACTTGGCACCAGCTCGGTTCTATTCAGGACTCGACAAGCGGGGTTTCGGCGTTATGCAAGCAGGTGGGATACATAGGTGAAGCTGGGCGCGTTGATCGCTACGACGACAGTTAAAAAAAAAAACAAAATCGCGCAAGAAATCATGCTCAACGGTGTTACGGACTTGTGATGGAGGAGACTTGTGATGGAGGATAAACTATATTTCCTCTGCCGACCAAGAACGGGTTCATACGGGAATTGGGGAGTCCGGGCTCGTGGAACGAAAGAGCACGCCGTCGCTGCGAATGCCGTCGCCACACCATTCAAAGGGTGCTACTTTGCGTGCAATCGGTCGGGGCACCGCAAAAGCGAATGCCCTGAAGATAATAGCAGCAGAAACATATTATGCATCAGAAAAATGTTGGAAGTCAATAGCAGACGTGCCCTTTACTAACAAGACACGCCGCTCGCCCGACCCAAGCGACCCTCAACGAGTGACGGTGCAGATTTCTGCATTCGACCAGACTCGATTGAACAAGGAGGGTATAGTGGTAGAATATTCACACAGACTTAATTGAGATATTTGTGAATATCGCCATAGCTTAATCAATACCGCCACTGCACGGGAACTAAAACTACTATTGGACAGATGCTTATATGAGGTCCACGCAAGTCTGGTCGACGGAACACCCCCTAGTCATACGAGAATGTCTGTACCAAGTTCGGATTCTCTATAAGGGTAACCTAGGAAATGCTGGCCACGACCCTCGACGGAACCAATATTTTACTCCTTTGTGATTGGCTGCGACGACACAATCCACGAAAAGTCTGGACGACGAGCGATTACAGCATGCGAATCAATAGTAATAGCATCGCTCTGAGTCAACGCCATTACGATGAAACACGTAGTAGCAGCAGGAGCAGACGTGCACGTGGTCGACATCCGGAAATTCGCCGCAGCAGAGCAGCAAACGATTCACATAACTGCTCACCGACGTACCTGATGACCTGGCGGCGTATTGAAACGGTATGAAATTTTATTCGATGACCTGTCGGAGGGGCTGCCACCTCAGCAGCCGCACGACTACAGTATACAACTAGAACCGGCAGGTGCAACGCCAGATTGATATCAGCAGCACGGTATTGACATCAGTAGCACGTGTAGCGTCGGCAGGTGAAACAGGGGCAGGTGGAGGGGCGGCAGGTGCAGCGACGGCAACTGGAGCATTGGCAATTCGAATTGCAGGCATGGAATAAGGAGGAGGAGAGAGCGAGGAGGCGGAGCAAGGAGGAGGAGGAGGTCGCAGCCATTCGTGCCCTAGGAGAAAGTCCTTGCTGTCCAACACTGTCATTGTAGACTTATGTTGAAGCCAAAATCATCCTCGCATTGGACCTGCACCACCCATATAGTCTACTTTATTGCCAGAGGTGTACCGTCCACCGAACGAGTGTAGATCTCGGGCAGACACTTGTCTAGGGGTAGCTTTACTTTGTTTTTGGTTTCCTTAGGTCAAAGAGTTGTGACTAGCCCCACTGTCGACGAACATTCTTGTATTCATTGGACCTGCACCACCCATATAGTCTACTTTATTGCCAGAGGTGTACCGTCCACCGAACGAGCGTAGATCTCGAGCAGTCACTTGTCTAGGGGTAGCTGTACTTTGTTTTTGGTTTCCTTAGGTCAAAGAGTTGTGACTAGCCCCATTATCGACGAACATTCTTGTATTTTTCTTAGCATCCGTCTTGAAAATTGGTAATTGACCGAGTTGATTGATTGCATGAATTAGTATGGGACCCGCCTATTGCCGACTCTTCCGCATTTCCCTGCTCTTTTCTGTCGTTCTTCCTCCCCTGCATCCTGTATAGGTAGTCATCTTACATGTGATCCAGCTTCCCACACTTACACAACCATGTAAATGGGCGGTCGGACCATGAAACAACCTCCCTCCCGTGAACCCACTCTCACCCACTAAAACTGCGAAACTGTGGTTTCCGCCAATCTGATGCCCTCGTTGAAGGTTGCTTGATGGTTGCGGTGCTCATACTGTATTTACCAAGCCGTTCAGCTTCCGCCATGCCATCAATCTGATCAGTGAGAGCTATTAATTAATAACACATGGTCTTAGACCAAAGCAGGTGTGAAGAGAGTAGTTAAGAGCTTAGGAGCCATAGCTAGGAAAGCCCTAGCTAGGCAAGAGAAAGTTTAGGCAAAAGAGGGGTTTTCACTAGCAGCAATGAGGATACATATAGCAAACCCTAGATGGGTTTTACTCGCTATAGAGCACCCCACTACAGGCTAGAGAATAACATTCTGACACACCCCCATAGCCAAAGTGGGGTGTAATTAGTACAATGAGCAAGCAGGTATAGAGCAGGAGTTCACAAAGGTAAGCAAAGCTAGAGCTAATCCTGTATAGGTAGTCATCTTACATGTGATCCAGCTTCCCACACTTACACAACCCTGTAAATGGGCGGTCGGACCATGAAACAACCTCCCTCCCGTGAACCCACTCTCACCCACTAAAACTGCGAA